AAAGAGACAAATTACAAATGACATGTTTTAACCTAAAATGTAATTAATTTAATGTACAGCAAAGTAGAGGTTGCACTCCAGGAGAAAAAAGGCTCGATCAAAACAATACTTTGGGGGTCCTGGCCTCAACTAGTGAGGCGGAAATACAATAAGATTCATCTTAAATGAAATAAGACTCAGGCTGGAGATATTGCCTTTTTCCTTCAGCCAAAACTAAGCCAGCAAAAAGTATTTACACAACTCCAGTTGACCATTGTGCTACAGGCGACTGGAAGAACAAACAAACAGCAGAGGAGCAGTGGGGTTTGGGAGGAACACAGGAGTGGCTTTACAATTCCTGGGCTGACAGCTGTGACATAATGAGACATATCTACAAATAAATAAAGGATTGAGAAAAGAACATGCAAATGCAAATGCGAACCGTCTAACTGGTATCAACACTGGAATAAAATGTAACCAGGTCAATAAATAAGGCAGAAAGAAGTTTATTTTGGAAGCAAAACAACTGCTGGCAAAAAAAAAATCGAACTCTCCTAGAAAATGTCATCCTAAGTTCACGTGTAGGTGGATCCATCTTCCAAAATAGTTTTTTTTTCTTACCGATTGGACCACTGCACACCAGCATGAGTGTATACGCTTATGTTTTTAAAAACTATGTTCATGTTTTATGTTGAAGAGATCAGTACGAGTTGAGACTGATTTGTTGTCTCTTGTGTTTCCCATTAGCTACACGGTGTTCAAAAATAAAATTCTCATTAATGAGACACCAGGGGGATGTCCCCACATATGACCTTTACCTCAGGTACAGGCTAAGTATTCCTTGGTGAGAGACTTCAGCACAATCTGTTGGCTAAAGAGCAGGGGCTTATGCGGGGATCTACTTTCTGAGTACAGCTGTCTTCTGCAAATGAATGAGATAAAAATAGGCACTGCTCTGCGGCACAAAAAAAAAATGTAAGAGAATTTTATATGGTCACACATATGGCAAAAATAAACACAACACAAAGTCACCAAATATATGCACGCCTGCAAAGCACAATCTTTCCATGCTTATGAGCCACACAAAGAAGAGAATTGAATTCTTTTGTTGTTGTTTCTTAATCCACTAGTGCGACACTTAAAATGGACCAGGAGACGGAAACGATGTAGACGTCGACACGTATCAACAATTAAGGCGTGTATTTATGGAAACCTTTTGACAAAAGCCATCTGCTCACATTACAGATGGAAATTTAATATCCAGTAGTAGTCAACACTGCTCTGCCTCCACGGTAATGACTATGAGTGCAAAGGGCAGCGGATGGACACTGGACACCTTAGAGATTTATGATACTATAAATATAAAGAAAGCAAGCCTTGCAGCAATCATTTGTAATGATAGTAATATTTCGAATGTGTTTTTCTGAGAAGTATGCTCTCAAAAAAAAAAACTACCCTTATGTCTCAACGACAGAAGGAAAGCAAACAGTCAACAAACCTACCACCTTCCACATATACACATAACTGTGAGTTTATTTGTGTTTTCTTAGAGGGGCTGTCTAATTATAAGCCAACCTGCAGAGAATGCATAGCTGCAGTCACAAAGTTTCCAGGCACTGTGTTCTCCTCAGATAATACAAATCCTGACAGAACTCTTGCTGAAGCCACAATAATGAGTCCCCCTTTTTTGCCCCCTCTCTTTCTCTTACTCCCTTGTTTCCGATCCCTCCATCTGTCTGTCTGTCTCCAAAGAGCCCCTAATGGAGCCAGAAGTTTGTCTGGGGATTTCGGGAAGCAGTCGCCAGAGATACCAACCGACAACTAGCCATCTACTTGAGGATAATAAGGCCCACTTATGCCAGAGCAGATAATGTAGATGTCTACAGCAAACACAAATAGCGCTCTGACAGCCCGAGCAGGCTGAGCGTGATGCCTTGTGATAACTTGTTTTAATCTGTAGTGGTATATTGTACATACAGTACATGTTGTGTCAGCGAGAGACACCGCGTGCACTATATACATTCAGTTTATGTTGGCAGTTCAGTGATCTGCTTTCTTGAGAATGCAGCGAGGAAGTTAACTGAATTCAAACTCCAAGCACAAACACAGTGGGGCGTCTCGTTCCTTTTGTGTTGTGCCAAAGTTTAAAATTGTTTGCAGATATGGATATACTGCTTCTCGTTATAAATGACATGTATTTTGAGGAAAAGCACCAATGCAGACGCCTCCATTCACTTGCAAGACAGTTTTCTGAGCTAACACGTTATGCTAGTCTAACCTGATCATAAACAGCTTATGTTATCCTCATCTGTTAGCTCATTTAGAGGCTACCAGACATTCCTCAGATATTTTTCCCCTATTTAATT